CCAAGTATATAGTCACTCGTTCTGGAGGACTCTGGGAGTTCTCCAGTAAGCATCTTAAGTGCAAGATTGTCAGTACCTTTGGACATTGCTTGTTGTGAACCCTTTGGCTTCACCGAACCTCACCCCGTTGTCAAAGCTATAACCTTCAGGAGTCCCTTTCAGAAGTAGGGGCTTTGAGATTCGTCACAGATATCCTCTCTCTGCTGCGAGTCATGTCGCTGCGCCATGAAATCCACAGTGTCTCGCCCGCCAATTGCCTAAGTGTAGGGCTCATGGTGGGGGCCGTGACATCATTATCCTCCTCGAGAACAACATACTAACCCTCTTAGAGCCAAATACCAACTATAGGCTCGATAATTGGGTGTCGGTTACACTAGAGTGTCATCTTGCCGTTGGAAGCGCCGCTGTCGTACCAGATCAAGTCGGATTTGACGTCGTACCCAACTGCTGCCCAGCAATGTAGACGTTTCCGATCCTTCTCAATAGGTTCTTCCTTTTCGAGTAAATAATCGAGACAGTGCCGCTCCCAAGGCCTTCAGAGGACGTAGGCCTTGCCTTGGGGGTTATATCCAAATTGACATTCGTCAGAGAAACGGATGGGCCGCCAGTCTTTTTCGGGAATTTTCTATAATGACCCTCGCGTACTCGGCCAGCCGCTCCTTTAGCCTCGGCGAAATATATTTCTTCTCGCAGGCGATACAGAAACTGGAGTTGATGTCCTTGACCGTACGGCGTACTGTAGCTTTGTGATATCGATGTCAAGACCGGCAGCCGCTGGTAGTCCCGTATATCGTATCGTACAGCCATTGAAGCCGTTATTCTCGATGAAACGCTCTATTGTAGCAAGGTCTTGGTCTGAGATCTTCTTCTTCCGTCCTCGGGAAAAGTTAAGTGGAAAGACCGGTCTTCTGGTTCGGCTAGCGCGCGCCAGCCGGACCGGCAACTGGCCCCGTGGAAGCGGAAAACCTCGCTCTTGAAGTCCGGGATTAGACGAGATTCGAGATATGCAATCGTACCGCGAATACCTGACTTCTTTGGTGTAGAATAGTGCAATTGGCGGCTCATTTTCGCGATGCATTCGCCTGGTGCAGATGATAGCAGCATGGGTGTCAAAGTGGGGTGTGTGGGGAGAAAGCTGATTTTTCGAGTGCCTTTTTTTACAAAGGGGGAGTCAGGGTGCCAACTAGGGTGCCGGCCAGATCACCAGCCAGGATGCCAGTCATCACAGATTTCAAACCTTAAGTCACTTTTCTAGCATTCTTTATAGGAAAATACTTGGGATTCAATCCCAGGACGGCATTCGACCTAATATACAGATTTGTAGCTACTTAGAGCCAGATGGGTATTCATGATTCCATCCTCTTCTCTCAGAAACCCGAAAGACCCAGTATGAGAAACGCAGGAAACTCAGAAACACCCATGCTCCTCAAAAAGCGACGCCACTCCGAAATAATCATAATCGGTCGCGAGTTGCATCCTATTGCATCAGTATTTTATTGTCCGCCCATCGTTTTCAATGCATAGCTGGAGCCTCCTCGGCATCGTATGTCTAGCCGTAGTAGCCATCCTCTGGTATAGTCCCCCCAGCCCTCTACTAGACGCCTGCGTAATTGTGGAAGATCGCGGTCCTGAATATCACCTGGCTGGCACTCAATCCAATCGTTTAACCACGGCCAGATGTTCTCAATAGGTGCAAGATTTGGGCTTTTTGGTGGCCATTGTAGGATCACGATCCCTAGTTCTCGAAGCCTAGCCTTGGTGATACGTGGCTTGTGTGCTGGACCATTATTCTGTTGGAACACGATGCCGTTATGTTTGTGGTTGAACCGGTTAACCGACGGAAGATGAACTGGATACAGTTGTCGGGCACAGATACCTCCATACTCCTTCTCCCACACAAAGAACGGTCCTTTCAACCGGCCGGCAAACGAACTCCAGAACATCCACCCTTTCGGCTTCCTTTTCTTCAGTGCATATCGGCTGAGATCATCTGTCCTGTCCATCAAGACCCCTCTCTTTCACATTGGGTCGTTGATCGCCCAGGTCTCGTCAGAAAAGAGGACCTTCTCCCAGTCTTCTGGCCGAGGCCGTAGTCGTAGCTGTTCTCGGCGCCACTGAACACGACGTGCCCGATCTTACTCGGTAAGATAGATTTTTTTTGGCCGGATAAAGGAACCCCCCAAGGTCCCGAACTGCAGCGCATAAAGGCCGTTTCACCATAGCCTTTTTGGAGGTACTCGGTAAGGGAGCTGATATAATGGGGTAAAACGGTTATCGTTAGTCTCTAACCAATGCCGTAACCGCTCCCGTTGTGGTGTGCGAATGGCCCCTTTCCTTCGCTTCTTTTTTGGGGGGGTTACTGGGCCTTTGCAAGCCCCACTCGATTTTGCCGGATCGTATATGGAGTGCGTGATGCGATTTTCCAGGATGTGTGGGCGAAATCGTGTAAGGCGGATGCGGATACGGTCGTCACGAGTAAGATCCGAGTGTGATGGGCTGAGCCCATGATGGCCTCGGCAACCCTCGGCCGTGGTATCATCATAACGTCATCCTGAAGCAGGCAGTGTCTGTGTGTTCCGGAGCATATAAGAGCTGCCCTCTCTTCCTGTCATCTAGTTCTCTCTTTTCTTCTTCTCTCTCCATTCGAGACAAACTCGTAGAGTCGTCACCAGCTAGTTGCAAAATACTCCTGGGACCGTTACACCGAGGGCTCTGAATCGTGTGGGTAGTGGTGTGGCTGGATGGATCAGGTCAGCGATAGAGAGCCCTCTGGGAGATCGTAAGTGCACACGGAAACATCCAAGTGACTTAACCAGGGGTGGGAAGATCTGGCCTGCATGGCGAACACCGCACCTATTGAAGTTGCGCAACAGACGGCGTCGATGTATCGTTCCCGGTCAAGCTACTCGTGTTCACCTCTTTACTTCACACGATGGAATGACGAGGGAATCCCCCTTATCATGCAGCTTTACGGGTCTCGCGGAGAATGCTAAGGGAATTCCTTTCATTCGCCAATGCAAAAAGCCTCAGGCTTAAAGTAAAATGCCAGCAAAATCACAGGCGTCCGACGGGCGATTTTGGTTTTTGAAATCGAGGTGGCATGTACCGAGATTCGTCGCCCTGCAGCTCACTCCTCGTGAAAGATGCAGGTACCTTGAGGCATGCAGAAGTATATGCGACGATGTTAGAAACGTGCTTTCAAGTACGGCTGGAAAACTGAGAGTGCATTTCATGGTATTGATTATTAATGCTGGGGCAGCGTAGTTGCCACCCGGCTTCGACTGAACGTCGACTCAAAACCTTGTTTAATACAAAGTCTCGCAACTCCGTCGACTGAAGACCAGTAGGCTCTTCAACTTTCCGGATTTTAGAGACCATGTGGCTATTGAAGGTTTTCACTTGGAGGGAACATGGCTATCGAACCTGTCCCAGACCAACCCAGTGTCCTTCGTATTCATCAATGGCAATCTGGCAGCCGGAAACTCTTTTTGGTGTCAGGTACAGAGCAGCCAGCAGGATTGAAACCCGACCCGAAGCTTGGCCCGACCTCACGCCGATTCGCACCCTTCACTGGTCAGTAAAGAATTGGAAAGACCCGGGCAAGAATTGAGACTAGATTGTATCCCATCGTGTAAGTCGCCAAAAGCCTGACCTGTCCCTAACTACACGGTCCTCGGCGTAGAACTGTAACGGTCCCAGGAGTATATTGCAACTAGCTGGTGACGACTCTACGAGTTTGTCTCGAATGGAGAGAGAAGAAGAAAAAGAGTGAAACACTATGCAAGATACCTGCCGTCTTATCCTCCACATCCTTGGCCTGTGCGCCGATATCGAACAAGATGGAAGTCCACCGAATCTCGAGTCTTGGCCGAGAGTTTGCCGAGGCCTTTACGGGCCAAGCCCGTTACAAGAACTTTCTCCGCGACGACCAAGATAGAGAGATCTGGCGAGCGTCTACGCCATGATGGCACGCCGAGTGGCTGGATCTGGCAACACGGCAAACCCAAGGTAACCGAATTCGGTAAGTGTCCCCTTAGGTTAATGTTGATTCTAGGCGCTCAGGTACGGCATGCAAGATGATGCGGGCGGGGACTGTGATAGGAACAACACTCGAAAGGCATGTTTTTGTCTTGCATCAACCGAAACCGGTGCTGCACTAGTGGGTGCAACAAGAGACATTTCCGGGCGGGAGCAGAGATAGGATGGACGGCTGGCTAGATGAAGAATTTTTTCATGGTTGCTTTGGACGAGAAGAATGAGGAAGCAAAACTTTCATCCTTGGAAGTTATCGAAATGCGATATCAAGTTTATTGCATGTACGGATACGGAACGCTTAAGATACCTCTTGTTGCTGTTATTCAAGTTGAGCCGTGCATACCGGTACAAAAGACAATACCAACGAGTACTCTCCGAGAAATGAGCGGAATCGGGAGACAGCGAACGAAGGCTGCATGGGGATGCCAAACTCACAGCCTGCAGGGAGTCCTGTTGACTCTTGATGATTGATGTTTGGTCCGAGGCGCCTACACAATATGGGAGTCCGAGTCAATGACAACGATCTTTTTGTGTCTCCTAGGTGTCGTTGGCAGACAAGGATGGCATACCTGCGGATGCCACGGGCTGCATCCCGCCAAAAAGCTCAGGGCGGAAGGTAGCCGGTTGACGGGGGGCGTCAGTCTAGCGCAGCACCGTCATTGGCTGCACTGCTGGAATGGGCTGAAATGTGCGAACCAAGGTCCCAGGCTAACTGACGAGGTGTCACGAATCCAGAAATTCTTTTCTGAACGGGCTGGCTGGTCAAGGTATTATGTTCGTCAGTCACTGCACTGTGGGAAAGGTTCAATCCGATTCTATAAAAGCAGCTCGGACGATTATGCAACAACATTGACCATGTCCTCGCTCGTTTGTTCCTGCACCATCTCGCCTGCGAGATCTGTCGAGGAAGCCGGATGCCGATTCCGTTATCATACGTTCGTGTGTTCCGGAGTTGTACTCGACGCCTTAGACGCAGACTGTGCCAGCACAACCTCGCGATTTGAGCCACGAGTACCACTCTTGACATCCACGCTGGAGCAAAAAGGTGCGACCACGAGTATGTCTCAGGTTGATATTTTGCCCCTTTCTATGCTAACCATTTGTTGCGTGAACTAATTGTGAAAGCTACCCACGCAGAGATACCATCGCTACTGTCCCTTACCTATCCATGATGCCCGGTTTCAGAGATGGCACCAATGACCGACTGCCGTCGTCACTGCATCTATCCCACGACCAGTTCGAATCACTCTGGCCATACTGTCCCATTCGACTATCCAAACCCAACCAAGACGCCTCAGGAACTCGAAAGTCCTGCCAGACGAAACACAAAGCAATCTCCCATGTCATACAGCATCTCACCCGGGAACATGGCATTATTCGCTCCGCACCCCACCACAACGTAGGGGAAACGACTGGCAAAGAAGCCGGACAGAGCGCAAGCAAGGGGGCAGACCAGAGGAAGTACTTGGTTCAGTGTGCCTGGTACGACGGGACCTCTGCTCCCGACACAGCGTCCAAATGCCGCAAGTGCAATAGAATTGCGGACTGGTCTGACGAGGAGCTCGATGAATATCGACAGGAGCATTCGGGACCAGCTCTGTGCGTCAGATGCTACCAAGTCTTCCACACCAGGACGGCTCTGCGGGCTCACCTGCGCGAAAGCGATCTCTGTCCGAACCGAGGACCGAGATTGGGAAAGCCGAACAAAGCCGGGATTCTCTACCAAGCCTTTGTGTCTGCCGATGCTGCACCAACATGGAGACCACCCTCAGGCTCGGAAGGAGCATCCGCCTACTTTCAAGTTCAGGCCGTCCGAGACACTCGTATCCCATCCGTCCCTGCTTCGACTTTTACTTCCACGCCTTCGAAGACTGCATGGAATTCTACTCCGTCTTGGTCTGCTGTCTCGACGGCCGCTTCAGCTCAGAGCATTGTTCCAACCCCTTCGTGTCCCCCGGCGACCCAAAACAACTCTGCTCGAGTCATCGGCGCATGCTGGCCCGGCTGGCCGGCGCAAGAGGAGTCCGTGGATGATATGCTCACAGACAACTTCAGTCCCGGCAGAATGCAGCACGGCTTTGGGGACATGGAGTCTACCGCCCTCGTACCTGATATTGCCGGTGAGGTCGATCGGGACCTAATTGGCCCAGATTTCACCTGGCAGGAGCAGACGATACAGCCCATCGACACCGAGACTGCGCCAGTGGACTGGGTAACGACAGATCCTGCCTGGATGTATTGGACGATCTCTCTTCCGAGTTCTGGGCCGGACCCACCGCTGATGAACCTGTCAGCCTAAGTATGCCTACCGGGCTTCCATGATCCAATGGGATCTTCGGTGAACTTGAATGGACCACAGAACGGTGCCACCCCAACCCCGCAGGCCACCAGCAACCTTCATGGGCTTTGTCTCCCATCGGAGGATACTGATACTCTGTCAAACGATGAGTTGAGGCAGAAGCTCGTCCACACTCCGCAGTGAGGGTCCAGGAGAGCAACAATCCAAGGAGCAGCGATAAATTTCTAGGTGAGTGTTTCCCTCTGCTTCGGCATTTACAATCAACTAAGATGATGCTGACGCCCGCCAAAAACCAGGCCGGTTCGTCTCAGACAAACATAGGCATGACTATAACTGGAACCTCATTCGAATTTGATTAAAGTATATCCCTTTGTATGCCTGCGCGATTGTTATAGATACCTAGACAACCTCCCGTTTTCAATTCTTATGCAGCGGCACGGAGCGCTCAAGCCGTCTTTGCATGTTTTTATAGAGTTTCTCTAATGTTTGTTAGTGGTCAACTATTTAGAAAGGGGCATCCGTCTAGTTTACCTTAGTACCTACCTTAGGTGCCTGATTGTTATTGCTGCCTTAAGGTACTGGACATGAGATCCGTAATTGCATCTTAGTCACCCGATATCCAAAACGCAGCAACGGAGAGCATAGTAATCTTCATAACAATCTCTCTCTTCCCTTTCACCTGCCGCCAAGACTAATCCGTATCGGGTCTAAGCTAAAGTTTGATGAGGACGCATGTACTCGCAACCAGAGTGCATTTGCAGATGCAGAAGCAGGATGAATGGATTCGGTGATCATCAGCCAATATCGGAGTTTCAGAGTGGAGATGGGAGGCTAACCCTTCGTTCTCAACGAGACCCGAAGAGGGACGCTGTCTCTTGGAAGGACCAGCTCAATTATCAAACCTCTTGGACCTGAGTTCGGATCCTGACCGAATGTAACACCGGCACAGCGGACTCGGTGATGAAACCATGATACAACCCCCGAACTCGACTGAACCATTGGCGCCCGATTCCTCCACTACGACTACCGAATCCTAAACTTCTGAAAGCCGGTAATGAAATCATCAAGCTGCCGCAAAGTAGTCTGATCGTACTTCCCAAAAATTAGTTCAGTAAACCTAGCCTTGCCGCCGCCTCTTCGCGCGCTGCTCGATGATGACGACGACGGTTCAGTAGAACCTGTCGGAACGAAGCCGCCTTGATGGCTGCATTCAACGGACCTCGGTGGTTGATTGGTGCCAGCACTGCAACCCCTCTTCCTTACATACTTAGTCCTCTCCCATGCCCATCAACAGCTTGGTCAATCAATCACTTTTACCACCTTAAAAATTCAATCCACTGCTTTGACTGGGGATAGCTTCTTCCAGCGCATATCTCAGCGGTCGTCGCCCTGCAGGTTCCAACACATCCTTCCATCCAGCCTAACGTCATTAGCGATGCTCCCGTCTAGTTTCTTATTCCGAGAAATGCAGTCGACCGACCCGGATCAACCTCAGGTCCTTGCCGGCTGTTGCCATTTGTGCGCCCCGGCGCATCGTGTCACACGAGAGATCAGCCGTGGAAGGTCTTGGTGTTTGCCATCGGTGAGCTTGGCGTCATAGTAATCATCCGTCACAACACAGAGATCGGTCCAAATATTTTGCATTCAAATTTTCACTTTTCTACTCAAAGGGGTCTGAAACTAGTCGTTCTAAGGACAAGAAATCACCCCTTACTTTGAACAACAACGAAGATCAGAAGATACCAGGTATCGCTATTGTAGCATGGCACGGAGCGAAATCAACTGCTTTGGGACGCAGACAGACTTCCCGGGGCGAGTGCGGAGGCGCTATCAGACTCCGAGATACCTTCTCCGCCCATCGTCCAGACATGTTAGATGTGTTTGATTTCTCGCCAAAAATGCTCAAAGTAAAGGTAAGTCTGTTGTGCACTCGTCGAGTGCGTTGGGGTGCATTCTCAGACTGGAGAAAATGCCCCCTGACTCCGTAATCCAATGGTTGCGTTGAGGTACTCCTCAATCAGCATTCAGCAAAGTCGGCTTCCAAGTTGAGTGTGAGGAGAGGTGTAGCTAGTCTCATCCGGCGACGTTGGCCAACGCGTTGATTACTTCCAGATCCATCCCCGGCAAAAGCAACGCTTGTGAAAGAAGACCGCCCCTGCGATAGCTTGTAAAAGACGATCCGGTGCTTTGTGATCCTGCACGTCACTCACGCTATGTAGACACGACACCTTTAAACCCCTTCGATGCCCCTCCCCTCAAGCGACCCCAGTGAACAACCGCATACCCCGGTAGAATAGAGCCGTTCCTGTTGGCGGGCCACGAACGTGCCCTGACCCAGATTACGTTTGTCGCCCTCGATCTTCACGACGATAACGACGGTATTCTGACCCAGTCCCTTTCTTCTGCTGGTATAACCCCGATGGCGACCTCATCTTCTCCGTTTCCAAAGATCAGATAACCTGCGTCTGTATATCGACTACGGCCTACTCAACGCAAACATCGTCCACCGTCAGGGGGGTTCTCTGTCACGCGACCTGTTTCGTAGTGCATCCATGCCGCAGCTCCAGCCACGTTCCAGACTCTTTTGCGCTACGCCGCACCAGCGTTCCTGGTAAGTCAAATATCTTGATGAAGGATCATTCGCCATATCTCATTGTAAGTCATAAAGAGCCCTCTGCACCTGAGTATTACGGGGACTAACCAACTACGAGCCCTCGCCGGTGACATTGTCGCCTTCACACTTCTTCATCCATGCTACATTTAGTTCCGAAGCATGGGTCTGTCCAATAATGTCCCGGTAGAGCTCCGGCCTCCGTGCTGTGCGGTACCGCCACCCCCCGGCGAGTTCCAGTTTGTCCCTTGTGCACAAAGCCACTGCCATGTCCTCGCCGAGGTTGCAGCACTCGGCAATGATATCGCCAAACGGGTCGAGAACCATCGAGCACCCGTTCTTGAGCTGATCGTCATCCATACCGATGGGGTTGCTGAAGACGACGTAGATGGCATTATCATAGGCCCTGGCTGGGAGCCACTTGACCAACCACCCGCGGCCTTTCAGGCAATTAAACTCGGCCCTCAGCGTTGTCGGGTCCCTCGCCCTGTTGTGCCACAGAGACGGGTCGACGAATCCGGCGCCTGGCCGCGTCGAAGGCGTGCACATGGTGACGTGCGGTGCGAAGAGGATCTCGGCGCCGAGGAGGGTTGTGGCTCGTACATTCTCCACCACATTGTTGTCGTAGCAGATCAGGATGCCGCACTTCCAGCCGAACACATCAAAGACGACATACTCGTTGCCAGGAGATAGGTGGGCGTTGATGAACGGATGCAGCTTGCGAAACTTGGCCACGAGACCTCGAGTCCCCTCGACGCAAACATACGTGTTGTAGATATTGTCGTCCTCGTCGCGCTCGAACAAGCCGGCAAGCAGGGCGACATTGTTCTCCCGGGCAATCTGTATCAAGGACTGGACACTCGGACCTCTTGGTACGGGTTCAGCAACCTGCAAGAGTTCGTCTCTGGAAAGTCGGCTGGCGAAAGTGTAACCAGTGACGGAGCACTCGTGGAAGGCGACCACTCTGCAGCCCTGCTGGGCTGCCTGGGCTGTCAGCCGCCGGATGGCAGCTAAGTTGAAGTCTTTGTCGCCTGATGCATTCTCAAACTGGATCGAGGCTATCTGTAGGTCCGACATGTTGCGCGGTAGCGTGTGCGAATTGGTGGCAAGACAAGTTCAACGCTTATCATTCAAGATTGGATCAGATACAGTACCTGTAATATAGAGGCATGATATCGAGCCTGGAGTGACGGGCAGCTTACTATGTTGAGCCAGCTATGTGCTTCAAAGGGCGTTGCACAGGCAACGTTACATGCATTAGTTCAACTCCATAGTCGGCAACCCACAGGATGCACAAAAATCAGTCCATATGCTTGCGGACGCTCCAACGCGGTACGGCTAGTGGAGCAAAATACCTACGATTTTCTCATTCTGAGTATTATTGCCTAACATCGCAGACTCTGCCCTTGTGGCGGGTGCTGGGCACCGCGCTACAGGCTGCTTTGCCAGGGAGGTGCATACCAAGTAAGTGTAGGGCGAAAGAAAGGGTCAGAGCCGAACGGTGAGAGCACACGGCCGTGGGAGGGCTTCTCTGAGGCGACGTAAAAAACGGCAGATAACGACGTTTGTCTACGGTCTTTCTTCCCTCGGTTTATACCCCAGATGGATAACGACGATGTCAAGGCACGACGGATCCGATGCTTCGGTCACATTCTGAATCTAGTTGCGAAGACCTTCCTTTTCGGCGAAGAGAGCGATGCTTTAGAGATTCAGTCTGACTTCTACGATGATCTTGGCCAGTACCAAGAGGGCCTCGAGCATTGGCGGCGCAAGGGGCCAATCGGAAAGCTTCACAACATCGTCAAGTTTATCAGAGCCTCACCGCAACGCAGTGAGGCTTTCCGGAACATCGCCCAAGAGTGTGATGACCCTGAGGACGCTGAGGACTTCATCTTTTCAGAGGCATCCTCCAAGGAGCTTGAACTAAGGCAGAACAACGCGACGCGGTGAAATTCGACGTATCTGATGATCAAGCGAGCTTGGGAGAAGCAAGCAGAGATTCGCGCCTACTTGTTGAGCCTTGAACTTGGCACTGCCCTCGTCACAGCTACCTCGTCAGGATCATTTGACCACTGACGATTGGAGGCTTCTTAAACGATATCCAACACGTCCTTGAGCCGATCTACAGCCTCACGATGAGAACACAGGGACATGCCCCCAGCGGCAGCCATGGGCACTTGTGGGAGCTCATGACTGGCGTAGAATTCGTTTTGGAGCATCTAGAAGAGTGGAAAGCCCTCTATGACGACCGTGCCACGGAATTGGCTGCAGAATTGGCTTTCCAGCAGCCCAGCGAGCCTTTCGCAGTGCCCTGGCTTATACTCGATGCCTCGCCTGTAACGGTCTCAGGCAGTATATTGCAACTAGCTGATGACGACTCTACGAGTACACTGAACTTGGAGAAGAAAAGGAGAGACGACAGACTCTGGTAGCTCGCAAGCATACTTATCCTCGTAGGCGCGCTGGTCTGAGCGCGTTGCTAGAAGGTTCGGTGTGCTGTGGGGCGAGTGGGAATAGCCTCATCAGGGGTCTTGGTATTTGCCGAGAGTCGCCGAGGCTCGCACCGGGCCCAGCCCGTTACAACAGCAAGAGATAGAGAGGGAAGAGAGAAAGAAAGGCCTGCTGGGGCTTCTTTGTCTACCATATGCTTGCTTGTTGGGCTGCATCAGCTGCTTGGGCCGCTGCTTGGGCGGCAGATGTGGGTGGATTTGACAAGGCTGTGTCGATCGAGATGTTGGAGGCGGTTAGCCCACCCCGCACCAACCACCCCTAGCCACACAGTTTCCAACCCACCGGAACAATTTCTAGCAACGCAGATACATGCAGTTCGAAGCCCTGTTTCGGGCTTCAATATCTTGTATACCGTACGCGACGGAGTATGAAGGTTAGTGTTGTGACCCCGGAGTGGCCCCACATCCTGCGTACCGCCCAGTAGTGCCGCCCACACTTGGTGCAGGGTCTTTTCCACCACAGAGATACATCACACATCACAACAGTTGCCCGGCACTGCAAGCAACAGGTAGTATAGGAAGTAAACACCTACCGCACTTCGCACTTACCGCACTTGTGACGCATCTCTGTCCCCTACCACTGAGAAGGACTCCTGAAGGTTTAACTTGACAACGGGGTGAGGTTCGGTGAAGCCAAAAGGTTCACAACAAGTGTACAAGCAAGTGTTCACACAGTAGTCGAGACAACTGATTGCATTGCTTACTGGAGAACTCCCGGAGTCCTCCAGAACGAGTGACTCGCTAGCTAAATATACTTGACTGACCCCTTTGTCATCAGTTCTTTGTTAATGATCCTGGTGGCTCACCGCACTCACCAGTTCCGACCAGGTCCCGGTGATCCGTCTTGCATGTGGCACTCGGCCTTCCCGGCACCTTGCGCCTTATGATTGGCGGCGGCTGACCCACCCGTTACGATATATTATTATTCCTACACCGCTGTGCCCTAGGGCGTGCCGGACCTTCAACAACTTACTATACAGGAAAACCGTGCCCTCGTGGGCCGGGTGAAAAACCCATATCGACAATCAAGGAAACGGTCAGTGTGCGATCCTGCAAATACAAAGTGGGAAGGCCTCTTGGCCTTCGAAGGAAAGGGTATCAGACTGCGAGCTCCAGCTCCAGCCTCCTGGCCAGACCGTACATCGGCAGTTTCCCCGAGTCCATCAGACCCGTTACGATATATGGTTGGTTCGTGACACTATATCTACTACATTGCGCGATCTGAAGCTATGACGGTGAAGAATGTAAGAAGAAGATTATTTCATTCACTTGTTTGCTTAACCCAACGGAACGGTGGCTTTTCAAGAAGGTCGAGCCGCCCTGCCGAGGGACTGCGAGATAGCGGCGGCGGCGGCAGAGCCCTAGATGGTGGTCGAGGTGACCGACCAACTACTCTCCCCGAAGCGATCGAGTCGCGCCCCGAAACCAAGTGCAAAAGTACATGAAGCGATGCAATCACTTGAGGATGCGGCAACTACGTCGAGAAGAGCTATAACTTATACTACGCGGAGCGCCGCATCGAAAGGAACACGTTTATTGGGAACCGGGAGCGGAGCCAACGGCCAACTGAGGCGGGGAAAACAGCGCTTTAGGCGCTCCTAGAGGCAATCAACGAACAGCGAAACGAGACGTGCGAGATAATTGCCGAGCAAGGAAATATGATCTGTGAGCAACGAAACATAATTTGCGAGCTACGCGACGACGCGATCCAACAGCTCTTTGAGGAGCTGAGACAAGCCCTAGATCAGATCGATGCTCTCGTATACAACCTGGTCTTTACGGCTTTAGCTCAGCTAAGCCTAATAAGAGTATCATACGCCGACGTCGCCCGCATACCACCGTCAAGCCAGCCGAGCGGGCTGCACACCCTCTCGTCACCGAACACAACGTCCCCGACCTTACCGACACCTTGTTTCATACAATCAACACATCCAGAGTGAAGGATGGATAGAAGGGAAAGGTCCAGGTGGCTGACATCAGAAAGACGATCGAGACAGAGATTCGGAAACAGGAGAACAGGGAAAACTAGCGATATGCAGCAATAGTGAGGGAGGCTCAAAACCCAGATCGGGTCAGGGTGGTCTGCAGAGACAAAGACGAGGCCCTGCTTGTCAAGGAGGCGGCACAAAAGATCACAGTTCCTGGAGTGCGTGTATTGAGAGACCAGCTGTACCCAGTGAGGATCGATAATTCCAACCGGACAGCAGTCCTTAATGCAAAGGGGAATATCCTCCCTAGAGCGGCGGAAGCACTAGAGAGAGAAAACGAAGTCAACATTACCAAGATCGCCTGGCTTAGCAGGAAGGATGCTAGCAAAGCTTATAACTCGATGGTTGTCTATGAAACCAAGGGCGGCGAAGCGAAACGGCTCCTAGATGCACGCTGCTTTCACCTGGCAGGGAATCAGCTTATAAAGCTGTGTTTGCACCCCGGGAGGGTCCAATTCAGTGCTACAACTGTCAAGAGGTACTTGCAGTTAGCATCAGCAAAATGACGAGGCGCGAATACCTGGCAGCTACCGGCGCCGACATGAACCGTTTGTTACTAGACCGAAGGACTTGGTCTTCAATCAATCCGTGTTTGCTACGGCAAGACGCTATGCAAGACTCGGTCGGACGGAAACGAGGCCGTACCCGGCGCTGGCCATACCGCCGTTGCTGTTACCGAACCTACCCGCCACCGCCACGGCTGCCCCCACGCCCTGATTAGTTGGGTTCAGCTGCGAGAGATTGGCAGCCTGCCCAACGAAAGTCGTGGAGTACACTCCACTGCTCCTGTCAAGATCAGGGTATCCTCCTCGATGCTGAGGCACACGTCTTCCCCTCTGCTCGAACCTCCCTGCCTCCAAGCCTAGTCCTTCACCAGTCATTTGGACTCTCGCATCGGTTGTCTCTCGGAGTCTCATAATGTCTAGGTAATCTCTCGATGCGAGAGGCTGTGGGTGTCCCATTCTACGAAAGAGTTAGCAAGTCGTCTACAGCTTGCAGGCAGTGCGCAAGACCTGGATCATGTTGCCTGTGTGAGTATAGCCCGTAGGCAGAGCCTTCCGAGCCCTCGGTGTCCATGGGTGTGTTCTAGTGCCGTCTAGGTAGAACGCTTAGAACAGTGGACTCTATGGACTGAGGAAACGGGAGGGTTCGGGTTCGTAAGCCTTTGAAGTAGTCTGTCGGGCTGAAATGCTACAATTGCTGATGGAGCCCTCTTGGCCTTGACAGGCTCACAACTTTTGCTTTCGCTGGTCTACCGGCCACTACTCCGTGTTCCCTTGGTGCATGCTAAAGGAACGCCGGTTGAGCAATTGAAACCTGACTTTGGAATTTGGATAACCTGACATTGGAATTTGGATACGGCGAGCAATCTTGTCGTGAGAGGCGTCCCATCCCGATAAATGCAATGACTTGAAATCCCCCGGTTCTCAGCCCGTTTCCTTTTCCACCGATTTCTCCCTGTACCGTTATCCCAACCCCTTTTCCAAGTCTACCAAGTCCTCGACGTCCTCCATCCAGAGAAGATTCCTTGTGTCCAATTGCCGCTTCGTAAGTCTCATCCGTAAACCATCACGTTCGTCAAATCACAAAATATTAAACCATTCCGTACGGATTCTTCGCCATCCTCTTGGTCCACTTCTGAATGACATCAACGGCGACTTCCCCCGACACCTCGAACCACTCCTCGTGCTGGGCGCGGCAAGGCCCGCACGCGACCCGGACCCGGCAATGCTCGAGCTCCGCGTGGCACAGCGCCTCAGCCCGCCGCGGATAGGGGACCATCACCGCATCTTTGGGGTCCAGCGGATACGCGGCCGCCACCTGCCGGTCGCAAGCCGTCTGCCACTCGATGTGCCGTGTAGCCACATCGCGGGAAGTGTATCCGATCTTGACGTACTTGGGATTCTCCTTGACCGTGTACGCGTACAGGAAGCCGCGCTCGACTGCCTGTTCTTCTTTTGTTAGGGGCTCCCGCCACTTGCTTGTGACGCGCTGGCGAATGGAGGCGTGGTCGCTGGGCTCGTCAGACCGGTCGACAATGCGTAGCGGGGACTCGTCGTAGCCGGACGGCGTGGACCTGCTATAAATGTCTTGCTCGAACTCCTTGACCGACTGCAGCGTGGGCATGGACGACGGTCCCGCCGGAGCGGCGGCCCGCGGCAGGTTCCTCGTGATGTCGCGGATTTGCGACAGCCACTTTGCCACCCACGCGGCATCGAGTTTGGTGTGCGCCGCGCAGCGCCCAAGCAGGTCGAGGTTCTCGAGCGAGACCTTGAGCTTTGCGTCATCCAGGTTGACGGCGAGCCTCGCAATCTCGTCGGCCAGGTTGTCGCAATGGCGCATATTCCTCCCGGCGATGGATTTTTGGCACCGCTTGCCGGTGCTCTCCGCAATCATGGGACATTGAGACGATAACGGGCGCAGCAGCTCCTTTATTTTCGTTCGCGCCTCGTCAAATGGATCGGTAGTGGTGATTGCTGCGGCCGGAGGTCCGCCCGGAAACAGCGCCAACCACTCGCGGGCCCGGTCCTCTGCGTAGACGACCCCCGGGTGGGAGTCGCAATGCCATTTCCGCGCGAGCTTGACCAACTCGGCCCGCAAGCCGGGCGATGCACGCGTGAGACCGACCAGCGACTCGAGGATCTCGTCGACTGCGGCCTTGTTCCTATCGCCCTTGCGATAGGGCGTCGACTTCGCCCCACAGCGAGGCCCCGTCAGCGGGTCGGGGTTTGTCTCGCACTTCTTCATGTAGCTGCCGCACGTCCAGGCTCGGAGGCCGAGAAGCTTTCTGAGCCCACGGGAGGACTTGTAGACATCTGTGGCAATGATAGGAACGTCGTAGACTGGGAACAACGTCATCCAGCGCGCCACCCGATCCGCTTTGTAGTGTCCCCAGGCGTGAAGATGGCAGTGCCACTTGTCGGCGACCTCGTCCAGCAGATCCTCAAGATCCGGGTCCGCTAGCTCCAGTGTCGCCAGGGGCACCAGAAGCTTGTCTATTTCGCCGTCTTTACCCGCTGAAGAACAGCCACACGATCCATCGGGATTATCCTTCTTGCCGCTGCCGCAGTAGCGGCTGTCGAGTCCCAGGCGGGCCCGCAGTCGCCGCACGGCCGTGGCTTCTCTTTGCGCCGCCGAAGCAAGTGCTCCCGAGGTGGTCGCTTGGGCCTGATGATACGGTGTTGCGGGGGGACTAGGAAGGGCGGGAGCAGGACCAACCGTCAGGGACTTCGTGGGGGTCGGGAAGCTTAAGGTCGGATAAGGTTTGGTGGCCTTGGTGGTGGTGACGCTCCCACCCGGAGTATGAACGTTCTTCTTCTTGGGAGGGGTGGTCGGCGGGGAAAGCAAAACCCCCACCTGCGCCAGGACCAGCACCGGCTCATGGTTCTGTGCCTTGCTGTTGCCGCCAGCAGAAGCAGGCGGCGTTACTGCTGCCATTGTTGTATTTCCAGAAGGGAAGCTGGCCAACCAGAGTTCAACCCGGGGACCGACCCGGATGTCCTTGTTGTTGTGATGATCGCAATGCCAGGTCTGGGCGAGCTCCTTCAGCTTCCGCCGCAGATTCGGGGAAGCCCGCGTGAGGCCGACAAGGGCTGGCAGCAGCTCGCCATCGACCTTAGTCTTGTTGAGACCTGGAGCGGCGGCCGGCGAATCCCACTTACAAGGCCAGGGTTTGGTCGAGCTGCTGCCGCACTTGCCATTGAGGAGACCGAGATCCTTTTTGAGTTGGGCGACGGCCGCCGCGCTGACGACGGGTCGAGCCGGCCCCGGGGAGGGGGCAGGGCTGGCGGGGTACCACGACATTTGCGGCTTGACTTGGCCTCTCGGCCTGGCTCAATGCTCCCTCGGGCTGACTTCGCCGCAAATATATGGAGAATAATGATTGGTACCAGGTATCGATGATGAGTCGCCTGGGCAGGTTGGACCTGGAGAGAACATCTTGGTCAAGGGCAAGAAACCCCCAGGAAGCGGCATAATTAAAGTTGTTCAGCTGGATGGCTTGACGGGACCTCCTGCAGACGCCAGCCTCGCTGGCTGCCTCTTCCACCTGCGGGCCGCGCGGTAAGCCGACATTCCCTCCAATAAATCCACTTGCATTTTGCCACCGGTTCCAATATTCGTACTGCGCCTCTATGTCGAAGCTCCTGAACCAACCATTTCGCGACTCCAGTCCCTTCTCATCGTACAACCGCGTCTCTCGCCGGTGGCAGGCGTCTTCGTCGCTCGTCGACCTACATGTGTACCCCTTGATCAAAAGCCCGCTATGCCCCCTGCGCGTGGAACACTTGGCAATACTAGCGATTTCTTCGTCTTTGACATCATTCTCTCCCTCTAACTTACTGCTAATCATGTTGTGGATCAGAATGTGAGTGGATTCCGCCAAACTTGGCGCCATGGTGGTTGAAACGATTGTCGTATCACGCACAAGCACCTGAGCGGCCGCGAGGCTGCAGCCAGGGCGCGTGACGCCCCGAGGACCAATCGGTTAGGTAGCTAGCCAAGCACTGAAGGGAACGACGATTGACATTGACGTTCCAAGGAACAAGGGAACACCAGGAACAACGGACGTTCTGTTGGATTTGGCAGGTGGTCAGAGAGGGCAGTTCAGGGGTGACTAATGGCTTGGCACCAGGATTCTCAGGATCAGGAACAGGCAGGGAACTTCTGGAAGAACACAGACAGGAACATCGATCATCAATTGAGTGGTTGCCCATCTTTTCGGTACCCAATTACTACGGTGCGGCACATTCGTGGCTGTTGGCTTTCCAACACGTTCCTAGTGTTTCTCAGGAACTAAGGGAATAGGCAGCGTTCCTAGAGTTCCTGAAGGGACAAAGAGAGCATAACAAGTATATTACCTTATCTAGCTAATCATTCCTTGAGAGGACGTTCAGAAGGTTCTCTAAGGTAGTATGCAATCACTATCAGTTAGCTACACCTACCTGAGAGACAATATATCTTAGCGCAGCCTGGGCAAGGAGTCTCTAGCCCTGAAAGCGTCTCGATTCCTTGGCCACTCCCATTTCAGCTAAAAGTGCCTGGACAGTTGGAACATCGAAAACGGTGGAGAGATCCATGGAGAACAATACATTCGACGACTCGGCTATCATCTTGGCGTCGCCATTCATGGCCGATTCGGTGGACGCGTTTCAACCGGGACGGTCGACGGAAACGAGATCGACTTCCCGGCCCTTTCGCACATCGGTCGAGAGACTAACCCTATCTTCAAGGTAGTCGATGTTCTAGGTGTAGTCCCGAACCACCTTGTCAGAATCGCGCAAATCACGGATGAAACGGTGTATTCTTGTTGGAGTGGCCTTCTCAGCGGCCTGGCGTATGTCGGCGATGCACCTGTAGAAGAGGGGCCTTCTCTCCGGATCGAAGAGTATCGACGAATCAAAATGATGACGATAACCTGAGGAATAAAAGCCATTTTTTGATCGAAAGTCCTAACTTTGGTGAGAGACATACACGAGAAGAGGCTATAACACTTACAGGAATGCCTGCGCTTGTACTGATGTGTTGGAAAGTCGTGGCACTGGAACTTCGGACGCTGAGCTGCAAGTGCCCTGCTGTTGGATGCATGGCTGCCCAACTGAGCGTCAGGCAACGTGAGGGGTAACC